AGAATTGGCCACATATAATTAAACTCTTTCTTGAGATGTTAATCAATAATATTAACTATTATCATAAGAAAAAAAAAATTACCAAAAAGTAATGTAATCTAAAATCATTACGTTAATGAAAAGAAGAAAAATAAAACCTTATTGCCTTTTACAAACACCTCAAGCTATTCATCACAACCACTATGCCTCACAGACATATGTACAGACACAATAACATGGAAACAATTAAGTAACAGATTCAGATATCAAAAACAGCTAAATCTTGATGATGTGAAAGTCTTATGAATAAAGTCCCCTCAAATGCAATACACCGATCACCTCACCCCATGACGTTAAAATCAAACATACTAAAATAAAAATTGACATAGGATTTTTTTTGAAGTGGCTAAAGTACCATAACTGTAATGCAAACCTTTTCTGATGTGATTATCTTCAAATAATGCTTATTGCACTTATATAAAGAAATAAAAATCATATATACCTTTAAGTGCAGAAAAGCTCTGAAGAATGTGACAAACTGAATAATGAGATTCTTTGTGTGAAATGATAAAAAAAGGAACATGACAATATAAAAGGGGATGAAAAAATTATAACATGAAGGAGAAATAGAAAAGAGATAAAAAGGGCAGGGATGTGTAGTGAATAATTCATAAAAAAATCAAAACCATTGCTACATCCCTAATTTCCTTTACATTTGTTCATCTAAAAATAAATACTACAGATGAAGCATGAACTAAATACATGCGCAAAATATACTTCTTACTAACTAGATCATACAATCCACTTTATAGTAATGAGAGTAGTTATGACAATGATATACATATGACCCATGTTAGTTAAAATCTATAAATGAGCTTTCCTTACACTCATGTGTGAATGAAAAACTATGTGGAAGAATGTATTGTATGTATTTGTTTCACATGCATTTTTGTGTGTGCCTGCACATATTTTTCTTTGGATGTTTATGAGAATCTGCTCATATAAAAAATATGGATAGACATGGACTCTTTTACATAATCCTCTAAAACATCTATAATCACTTTACAATTCACTACTTGTTAGAAAATGTTGATCACCGGAAAGACTTATAAGAAATAGTATATAAGAAAATGCCAGTGCAATTACTAACTAAAATTTAAAGGCAACATCAGTGTATGCTATACACTGCAAAAGCCTATCTGTGGCAGATGTAAAATGGATTAAAAAAGTATGCTACATCAAAATGAGAGAATAATATGGAAATAAAAATATATATCAAACCCAATTTCTATTCTTATTCTTGAAGAGCTGATATCTCTCAAAAAGATGATGGTACCAAAGTAGACTAACTACCAGCCTCTTTAGAAATCTCTAAATCTGCCTTTAAATAAAATAATTTTCTAACATGTAATCTGCAGTTATGAATTCAGTTCCCAAAATTCCATGAAAAATGCTGCATACACTCTCATACCATGTGTAACCTAATGATATAAAAAAATCTAAACTAACTAAACACTCATCCTATTGTTTGCCTTTAATGTAACATGAGATCCTGAGAAAGTGAAGGAAATTAACTCTGAAAACTACTCTTTGCACTATTCACAAGAAAGAGACTTTTCATCAATATTACTGAGAAAGATATTTTTTGTCTCATTATATGGGAAAAGACAAATTGTACTTTTCATTTGTATTGTTACAGAATCTCTATAATACTATTTATTTTTCTGTATCATATTGCATATTCACACAAATATACATACTGTTTAAAAGCAAATTCTCTAAAATAATAAAAACATGGAAGTTCCATCTTACTGAATATATACAGTAGAAACTTATTCCTCTCAACATATAAACTCTGGCTTTGGTTCATCTGCACTCTGGAAGTACTCAACAATGGCCATTATGCTGGCATAGGACCCAATGACGAAGCACAAGGTACCGAAGATCATAATTGTAAAACACTTTATAATCGTCAGCTTCGATACCCTGAAAAAAAAAAGTTTAGCAATGTCAAAATTATGCTAAACTTAATAATGATAATGACATTTTCAAAATTGAAATGAATTTTATGTAAATCCTCTACAATGTGAATTAACAGGAAAAAAAGTTAATTCTCAAAAAGAAATGCACACAAAACTGTTGTCTTTCATATGAATTTGTAATACTAATTCTAATATGAACTTTTCAAAATATACTATCAAAACCTGATATGTGAAAGTCATTCTCACTCACCTTGGCCAAAATGTAACAAGCTCGATGATAGGAGGGAAAATGATAGCCAGAGTGGATGAGGACATAGCACCGACTAGTGAAATAAAAAGGCCAATGTTGGGTATTGCTGCTGCAAGGATAACTGAAAGGCAAAAAGAACAAGAAAAGAATTGTTCATTTGTAGGTCTGACAGAGTTATGTCTCATTTTTATACTCTCCTAGGATCTTACAACGATTGACTCATTGGACCTCGCCACTTGTTTACATATAAATGGTTCCACAAGTGCCTAGTCACCAAGATGTCAAATGCTTAGCCTTGCTTACAATACAGTTTACCCTATTTCTTGATTATGGGCATAAAATACTTTTATTTGTTATATCACTATCATTATTAATGTAAGTATTATTATTACTAACAAATCATTAACAATAGAAGTCCTGCTGTTAAAATGATAAAAACTCTTCTTAACAAAATTTCAAGACACAGGTTAGATCAATACTGACAACACATATGGAGCCATCTATGTGTAAAGAAAATCAATCAACTAAAATTAGACTTAGCTGGTTAACTCAATGAATCCAGGCTGGCTCAAATGCGCAGTTTTCCTTATAGAGAGGCTACAACCTCTGATCAGATTAAGACAACACAGGTATGACATGTTTGTTACCAGAAATACAACCATTCTTGGCATGACATGACATGCTATCTGGAGGTAAAGGATGGTAAAAAAAGAAAAATTCCTTTGGCATAGTGACATGTTATCAAAACCCTTTTATTCTCATTTAATGAAAACCGCAAACATAATTTTTATAACATGAATAAAAAGTTGTCTGAATTTATTAAGAAGGATAGGAAAAGGAGGAGTATGTTTAATGTTTGAAATAAATAAATGTGCAAGACATCAAAAGTCATATTGCACTATGGTAATGTATTGTGTCTGAAAGGGTAAAGAGGAGTTAAAGATTAGGATAAAATGTGTTAGATGTCACCAATTAGAGAGTATTATAGGATAGTATGGGAGTGAAAAGGGAAAAGGGAAATGAGGGGAGTAAGTGAAGTAGAGCAGAGATTAGTAGAAAGGGAAGGGTTAAGGGGGTAGGACAATTGATTGAATTACAGTGTATCAGTCACTGGGGAAGGTATAAGAACAATGTTCACGGGAAATAGAGATGGTTGTTGGATTAGAGTGTGTTATAGGAAGGTATGGTAGCAAAAAGGGAAAAGATTGAAGTAAATGAGGTAGAGCAGTGATCAGTAAAATGGGAAAGGTTAAGGGAGTAGAGAAATTGAGTGCATTGCATTGTATCTGTGACTGGGGAAAGAATAGGGACATTGTTCAAGGAAAACAGAGGTGACTGTTGGAGAAGTAGGAGAAGAATCTGGGGGATGAGAAGGGGGACTGGGGAAGGTAATGAATTATCAGGAAGTATATCTGGAGGGGAGGGGTCTGGAGAAGGACACTGTTGTGATAGAAGGGATTCGTGTAAGTATTCAGGTGGGAGCGGTAGAGAGAGTGGGGTATGTTGGGAGGGTGTAGGAGAAAGGGGGGTGGAGGGAACTTGAGGAAGAGGAGGATGGATATCTGCAACTATTTTAAATGTAGAAGAAGTAGGAACAAAGGGATTGGGGGCCGGATAAGGGAGCAGAGTGTTCCCTTGGGTCACCTTTAGGAAGTTTTGGATGTCTTCAAGAGTTTCTGGAGGAAAGTTGGGTGAAGAGGACTGAGAAACAAAGGTTCTTTTGTGAGGAAAAGAGGCGATATATATCTGAGGAGCAGAAGAGGAAGGTGTAGGAGAGAATATAGTGGAGTGGAACATTTAGGTTGCCCAGTACAACAAATAAAGTAAAGAGGAGGGGTAGGTATCAGGGAAGTGGTAGAGATTGGAGTATCTGGATTTAGACTGACAAATGAATTTGACTGGGGTATAGGGTGGGTAGAGGTAAGATGGTTTAGAGATACTGGGGGAGATGTAGAAACATCTTATGAAGATGGTGGCAGAGCAGAGCGAAGGACTGTTTTGGAATAAGTTGAGAGAGAAAAACCTCATCATCGTGCTTCTTGTCTGGCCTCATGTAGAGTGAGGCCTAGTTTGAATCTGAGGACTGCTACCTGTCATTCAAGCTTATAAGCAAGGCAGCTCCTATAAAACACATTATGGGAGTCTCCACAGTTGCCATATGTACATGCCTGAACAGGCTAATTTGAACGGTCCTGACCAGGTTGGGGACATAGAGGGCCGTGGGCTGTGGAGCGATAGTGTTTGGCTAGGTGGCCAAAATGCCAACATTTTTGACATTGACAAGAGGGGTGAAGTTCAGCAGGAATGGGTTTGCCAGTGATGTCAGTTTGGGTTGATGGTGGACTGTGACAAGGCCTGAACAATCAGAGTGACTGTGAAAGATAACCTTGCCTACTTGTTTTTGGAGACACTGTTGAAAGAGAAGGGTATTCTCAGAATAGGGGGCTGCGGGGGAATCACAAAGAATCGATCCCACTTGGCCAAAGAGAGTACTTAAAAAGTTTCCAAAGGTAGAGGTAGTAGAAAGACGAGGGTGAGAGGAAGAAGGGGTGGTGTGGAGTGGAGTAGTTCTGTAGGGAGGAGGACAATAAGGATGAACACTAGTAATAAGGAAAGAGGGGGTAAACACTGAAGAGAACTATGCAGTAGGAGATGGAGAGGAGAATGTTGGGAGAGAGGAAGGGGTGCTTTCTGGAGGTTGAGTAATAACCTGGATGGCTGTTTTTGAATGGATACAGTTGTCAGTAAGCATCAAGGAGGGGGTATTAGTATCAGTGGTCGGAGCTGTGGTCAAAGGAAGGGCAGGGGTTGGAAAATCATCAAAATCAAATTTAGATAGACTAGTTGATGAAGGGGTAAGCCTTCATGCCCCTATCAAGGGTAAAAAATCTTCATTATTGGCCATGGTGAGCCTGAAAAAAATGGAGAAAAGAAACAGTCTACCCTTCAGGGTCCTCATAAGGGGAAAGGGCTAGGCAATTAACCAAGGGAATACCTTGCCTATGGCCCCCAGATGCTGTTCATGACTGACACATAGCCAGCCTTTCATCCTGTCAGTATAGCTCTCACACCTTAGAAATGGGATGTAAGAAGGGGCTGAAGAAGATATGGAAGAGGAAATGGTAGAAGGAAAGACCAAGCAAAATTAGTTGAGGCCCAAAGCAGCAGTGATACCCTACATTAGGCCTCAGTCTCCATCTCCTAAGCCCTCCCACAATAACAACAAGCAAAGGTATTGGGAGGAGGAGGAGGAGGAGAAAAATAGAATACCACTAAGCATAAATTTTAAACTTATAATGAGATTTTTCTGGGAAATAATTCTGTAAAGATTACCTGTGTTGCTTTTTTATGATTTTTATCTTATCTATATAATTGTTCTCATAACTTAAATAATTCAGAAAAAAAAATAGGATCATACCTCTCTTTATTTTGACATAAAAACACAGCAAATAGGTAGAAAATCAGTGATATTCAATTTTCAAATTTTCATATATACACAACTGGTAATCCCAATATAATTTTCTACTTCTTTTTGATAAAAAAATACATGTACTGACAAGAATTTAGAGTATAAGGGTGGGGAAATATTCATGAAATGCAAATGTCTTGCAAGCTCATTATAGTGATAACACCAGCAGCCAAAACTATATGCAGTTGGCAACTCAAGCCAGGGGTGCTGGTGCTGACTCATCTCAGTAAGCATAAGGTGGGAATAGGGAGAGGTTGTATTACTACTAACTGCCATTTATTTTGCTTGTTTCACTGGTTGTGTAACAATACCTTTTGATAATTAGCATGTGCATTTATTACTTTCTTTCTATAACATTCCCATACCTCAAAATACAACAGAGATTATTTTGAAAAAAGATATTTCAATCCTAAGAATTACACCTAATGAAAATAATCATAATATAATCATTACATACCTAAAAACAATAAGGCAATAACCATTTTTTACAGGATATATTAACATTCAAAATTCAACATGAGTCTGTCATGTATATATCAGACCATGATTTTCATTCAAAATCGTGAAAAAAATGGTTTCAATATCTGGAAAAATTGATAAGCTTAATATAAAGACTCATACTCTCTATAATATAACAACTAATCACGTATGGGTTTTATCAACTGCCACAATCATGCTAAGCCTATCAAAAACTGCTGGGATTTCCTATCATTAATTTTTTCTTCTTAGACAATTGTGATATTCACATATTCATCTGATGTTATATACATCTGATAACCCAATATCCCTTTTAGGACCACCTCTCCTTCAGAAAATCATACAGTTGTTTTTGCCGCCCCCTCTTTCTTCTTGTGAATAGAATGTAGTGAAGGTTTATTTGTAATTCTTGTTTTACATAGCATATTACATGCAGCTAAACCCTTCATCTTCCCCCACCCACCCCCCATATTCCCTCTCCACACAACATACTATTATTGACCATAAAATTGCCTCCTGTGTTTACTTTTAATATATACATATAAATGCATAAATGCATATAATAATTTTTTCTATGATAGAAATGTTTGCATCTACCTGATCATAGTATGTTATTTTTTCATAAATATGCAAAGGGTAACTACATCAAACTTTTCAAATTTGCATTCTATTAATGCACTTTATATTTCCTACTTGACAAAGAAATACTCTTTGTCTTTGTATATAACCAAGCTCTTGATTTTCAAGGGTCAATTTGTAGCCCCTATTAGCACCTGATTTCAATATTCCTTGAATTTGTGAATAAATGTTGTATTATTTTTAATGTATAATACTGATATTGTTATCATCATTACTGAACATGATTAACACAATGTTATCAAAATACTACTACTAATAAAAATAATGAAATAATAAAATGAAACATAATGATAATCAAGAAAAAAGGTGAACAGGTGATATTGATTGGACTAATCATTTATTCCATGACTATGCACATGTGCTCCATAAGTGCACAGTCACCAAAGAGTCAATTACAGGTAATGGCATGTATTCATGCCATCCTCAACCACAGGGCTATGGGTTAAGACATCTAAATAATGAAGCAAAGCCATCATACTTACAAGTAATAAGAACAAGGAAAGCCCTGAATGCATATTCTCCGACACGCTTTGCCCTGTTTGAATGGAACCTTGTCCGTAGGTGTGGCCACATGATCTCCGAGGGAACATATAACATCAATGAATAGGTCAAGTAGATTGCCACTGCCATCAGGATTTTCACCAACTGTGCAAGGCTGAAAAAAATATATCCACAGTTAGGATGAAAGTTACTAAAGTAAAATAAAATGGGCAAAAGCAATATCAGCAAAGGTAATCAACATTATATGCCCACAATACTTAAATATAAACAACAAATCAATATAAAAATATTTTTGTCTGTAAATGATCTTAGATACTAACTTTGCATGAGCTACCTTAAATAAAACTAAAGTAGCTTCATATAATAAAGTAGCATCCCTCTCCTATCATATATCAAGTGCTACTTTAAAAAGTAGAGCAAATCCCATTTTATTCATAAATGAGAAAATACTGAAGTTTCTTACAGAGGCTTTAATAAGCCAGTGTAATCAGTAAATTATCCTTAAAATCAATAGGGTAATACATAAAAACATCAAAAGAGATGAAGTGAAAACACTTACTTATCACTTGGTGGAAGGTTAAGTGTAACTGAGCCATGTACAGCATCACCATACTTTAGATAACCAAAGAATCCTACAGCAATGTAACCACAGGTCACTAGAATCATGGCTGTATTTAACACTCCATTGCATCCACGGAAATCTTCTGGTGTTGTCATTTTCCGCTCCAACGGCAAAACCTAGAAAGAAACAAAGAAATACTATACTGTTAGAAATATATCAATATGTAAGAATATGCTGAACAAAAGCTCAATTTTCTGTCTACTTTTGACTTAGAACCAGAGAGTCCCCTTAATATGTAAAAGAGAATAAAGATGAATGATTGTTTTTCTTATAGCAGATACCTCATCAAATCTCTTTCAATGGCATTTAGCAATACAAATTAATTTACTTAATCAAGCAGTGAATAATCTCCACTTTTCTGTGTAGAGGATAACTACCATCGAATGTGATTTGTGCAAATTCATTGCAAAAAACACATCTAGGTCTGGAAGACAATACTCAAGGTGCATTAAATGGCATTATGTTGTGCATCTTATCTTAACCCCTTGGATCTGGTAGCAATCCCATGGATCAAAATATGTGCATTAGGATTACATGAGCAGGTGTGTGGCATTTATGAATTGTGCATAAGTATTTTTGGCTTTTTGTCATTCAAATGTCCATATTTTCCATTTGATCTGCTTTATCCAGGAGGTAACAGACCATTTTCCATGCAGACTCCATATCATCCCTCTAAGCGGTAAAAATAATGAATATGTAACATTTTGTTATTTGTCGTTTTTTTCTTCTTTATTGATAATATTCATTTTTCTGTAATACAACCTGGGCCACCACTCACAACTGCCAGGAATAGATACTAAGCAAGGAAAATATATCCTCCCTGGTGCTGGCACTAATCAAATCATGGTTCACGGACATTACATTCCACATTTGTTTGTCAATGAGATTAACCCCAACGATCTGGATAACATTATGGTCCTATGATGGAAAAATCTTCGTTGAGGACTAGGTGACATGAACATGCCATCATCGTACAAAACGGATGTGGGCCGGGTGACACAAACTTGCCGTCATGTCAGAAGGCCAGTGTGACAGAAAAGACTCGCCACAAGTGCATACACCTCTTGGAGTGTGATTTGACTCATTTGGTGCTTAGAAGGGGGCTTTAGCATTATTCCCAATGATAATTAAATGTGGAATGTAACATGCAAAAGCCATCACTGGAAGAGTGGCAACTCCAGGGAGGATGCCATTTCCATGCTGCACACCGTATTCCTGGCCTCTGTGACCAGCTGTGCAGGTTATATTGTGGAAAATTGAAAATTACGAAAAAACTAGATATATGACAAAAAAATCAAATGTTCCATTTTTTTTTCCTTGCACTGAGTTATTTACTACAGAGAGATGATATAGAGTTTGTGCAAGGAAAATAAGCTATTACCATCTGGATAAAGCAAATCAAAAGACAAACATGGACATTGGGAAATGGCAAAAAAGCTAAAACAGTTTACACAAAATAACTGCAAACAGGAGGCATAGAGTTTTGTCACCGCTCATGGGTGTTCGCATGCACCAAGCCTAAGCGCCACACACCCAGGATGTTGGCTATTTATTTAACCTGCTGCCTGTATTTTCAGCACCATGATTTCTGAGACTCAACCAGATCCAACGGTTAAATGCAAAAGCCACTTTCTAAAGTCCAAATGAGTCTAATCACCCTCAAAGAGGTTTGTACACTTGTGGGAAGTCTTTTCCATCACTCCAGCCTTCACTCATGAAGGCAAGTTCATGTCACCCAGCCCACAGCCATTTTCTCCCATGACAGCATGTTGACATCATATTCAACTGATTTTTTTCTCACCTACAGTACAAACATGTACTTATCTCTAGCATATCAATGAATTGGAATCTTTCCATAAAGTGTTCTTGTCCTATAGCTATTGACACCTTTATACTATTCATGACTAGTAATAACTGAATCTAAAAATATGACAGACACTGAACTGGAGATTATCATACATTGGTCAGGGGCCACAGAAGGGGAAAGGTTGGGAACCATGGGTCTACAGCAAGCTTTGTACTTAATTTTTTTTTACTACCCTGCCGCAAGTTTTACTAGCCCCAATATTAGATTTAACACAAGATTAATCAAAACATTGGTGTGCATGGCTCGATAGCGCAGTGTGCTGCATGCCCCACATGCCGCTGTCTACTTTTTACTAGACCACACATTTTACTAGCCCGAGGCTGGTATTACTAGACAATGACCATCGGGCTAGTGCTAAGGTTGAACCGTGTAAAGTAACTAAAGTGAAAGACAAACAAACAGAGGAGCAGGAAGAAGATGACCCAGACAATGGAGACAGACTGCTATGTGTCCCTCTACCAGTAAAGGTGCTTTGAGTTGTGGTAACCCTCCCCTTCCCAATCACTTCATGTTTTTGTCATTGGTGATGGTTATATTTTCATATTTGTTTACTTAAAAGTATTTAGTTTATCATAAACACATGATATTTCTATCACAATGAGTGGCACTGTGTGACTGGTTCAAGCAGAGAGGAAGGGATTGTGGGGGTGATATCAAGGATGTGGCTGATGGACGCTTGCTAAACAGTATCAGATCTATTAGTAGACACTATATCACTCATTCATAGTGAAGTCACATGAAAGAAGCCTGCCAGTTTTTGACAGGGTTTTCACATGTGTGGCAAACAATTAAGGGTGCATATTATGCTTTTAACCATGATCATGGCAAATAGTATTTTATGGGTTAAAGAAATATCTTCTTTCTGAAATGGAATTTGACTAATGTTGATGACCCTGAGAGAGCTCTATGGGATGTTGATGATGGTGACCATTTCCCTAAAGTATGTATACACGAAACATTGCCCATGTATGCGAGAAATAGAGTATGATGGCACAAAAACAAACAATGTAAGTGTTACTTATAAATATATCAAAAAACGTTTTTTTAAACTCCTGTCTTCTGATATGTGTTGGGATCAGCAAAAGGGTTAAAGCAACTCATTCACCTCTGAAGGGATCACTACGTTTAAAGCTACCACTCTTACCTTGCAAGAAATATAATATCAATCATATCATCTAGTAAAAACAATGAAAAGTCATAACACAAGAAGCAAAAAAATTATTGAATAAATCACATGCAATTAAATTATAGGGTCTTACCACTCCAATTCCTTCAAAAGCATATATCGAAGTACCCACAAAGAGTGGCAGCTGCTTCCAGCTCTTGAACTCAGGTCTATCATACGAAGAAGGAATATCTTGGAGAAGGTAGTGGAACGTAATGGCAATGCCAAGTCCTAAGAACACATTGCTTATGAGGGAGAATGGAGCAAGCACCTGTAATAAATATATAATTAAGAAAAAGTTGAAAATATATAAGTAAGAAAGTTGAATATAACAAAATGAAGCAGGTATCAACTCTTCTATAAGGTTCTGATATTTATATACATTGGCCAGAATTGCTTTTCTGAATGAGCTGGAATGAATGGCTAAATTTTTTACTACATTGAAACCAACTGTCCTAGACCATCCTCCAAATGAGCAAGCAGGTCCATTGAGAGTCCTGCTTATCATCCTATAAAATTTCACAAGTCTAGGGAGAGTCCCTTTTCATTATGAAAAATGAGGATACCACAATCTTATTTTATCAAAATGGATTCTGAATAGCATTCCTCTCAGAATAAAGCAACTCACCTTTAATGATCTAATCATTGATATGGCCAGCAGAGGAATCAATAAAATAGCCATGTACCCATGAATATCAATATCATTTCCTGGTAACTTGCAGTCAACAACCTGTAAATATATGACTTCATTTAAACATATTAATAAAAATATCATAAAACAAAAAAAGGAATAACTAAATCATATGCACCTTTCCTATTCTTTTGACTGATAAATTTGTACTTTCAAATGATATGTCATTCCAATACATCTTGCTAGTACAAGATAAAACTTCATATATATAGTGTCCTTTTTTAGACTACAGGTAACAATAAACCCTTATCTTTTTTAACTGTAGCTTTGATTTTCTAGACTTCTCCTACATTCTCCTACCCAGCAAAGCCAGTACTATTATGTCAATACAGGACCACTACAGCCAGAAGGCAAAGGTTAAAAGCGTGAAAACATTTTTAAACGCGCAAGATATTGATATCCAGTTGCCTTGGATCATTACTTACACATGTCACTAAGTGAAGTCATCAGCTCCAAATGAGTAATGTGAATTACACCACCACAGCCATAATTAAGTATAAAATTGCTTCTTTTGCTTTAAGTATTCCAATCTAGGAGCAAAATATTAATTTCTGTTGAGCTATTTGGACCACAAAGTTCACAAGGCCACACGTCTCAACCACATCATGAAATACTTTACTTGGTTATTAGGCTCCAAAGATATGTAGCAAGGCACTGATTCATCTATGTGTACATAAACAATAAATATTAACACTGCATGTGCATCTTAGATAATCTACCCACTACGAGGTATAAGCAGATTTCACACAACCAGAGAATTCCATAAATAAAATAAGGGCTTACTGTGGCCAAATTACAGTATCATATCAGACAGTACAGAGCCAAAAAATACATGTACCCATTACTGCATTTGAGCTTATATCTAACATGTTGACACTGATGTAAACTATATATCAATATATTTCATTTTTATTTTCATAAAATTAAGAAATTTCTTTTAGGAAAAATACCATTTATATGTATATGGATAATCATCTACCATAACTTCTGCATCATTAAATCCAATTCTAGAAAAAAAAAAAATACAACCATCTGCAAATATTTATCATATTTGGACACACCATCAAAGGCATATACCATCACACGCACACACCACCACGCACACACTCAACCAATATGCAAACACCACCACACACACAATATATATATGAATAAAAATAACTACTGTTACAAAGACAAATGCAATAAGCACTGTCAATACTTGAATACTTTCATACTCTATGTACTACATTTAGTTACTATTTGGTTTTGTAATCATTTCTCAAAATCAAAAATATCTCTACTTCACAATGCAATGTTTTTCTCAAAATGAATATTTTTTCTGCCAACTGCACACTGTAAAATGGAAAACTACTTGCCTGCTTGACATTTGCTGCAATAAACACCACATACACACAGCAGAAGCCTAACTGTGTAATGGTAAGAAATGAATTCAAAACTGCACGTGCAACTGGTGCTAATCTCCGCAGAGGGGCTGGACCAGTGGTGAAGGCATGGTATCCTACTTCTGCATAGTCCAACCCGCTGACTCCTAATCTTTCCTTTAATTCATGAGCACATCTTACCTACAAATAAGAACCAATTTTAATACCAGAAAAGGACGGTTCTTCTGTCGAATTGAATTCTGTATAAATAAATCATGTGCTAACAAAGAGCAAATGTGTAGGTAGAGGGAAAATATACACTATCATACCGATATTCTTCTTCTGCATTATATAAAAGTTACTTGAGAATAGACTGTTGTAAATTATATACATTAGAAAAAAAAAATATTTTAGCATATCACATAAATAGACTTAATCAGACTGATCATTGATAATTTTCTTTTACCACTGACATAACTTTATATCATCTATAATAAACAGTTAATAAATTAAGTCATAATTCAACAGAGCACTTACCAGCATGTGCATACAGTGAATGCAGATGACCGCTATTACAGGCAAGAGAGCAGTGCCAGTATACAAGCCAGAGTTCTTGAGGCCATCAGGCATAGCCAGGATGCCAGTACCAATATTGCCTTTAATCAGGTGAATCAACGTCTCGCAATTCCTGAAGGGCACCAAAAATTGGATATTCTGAGACTTAATGGACACTGGTGATGGTTAGAAAGAGGAGGAGGTGGTCTGGATGATAACAGTATATTCATTGGCTATGTAAATTTAAATTTTGAAAAGCAGGGGTCCATTGAAAATATCATGAGTAGCACAGAGGAAAATACAGACAGGTGTGAGGACACTCAAAAATCTATATCATGAGAGAAGAAAGAAGTATGACATATCTATAAACTGCAATCAAAATATTTTCCAGGTTAAATCAAAGTTGTATTTCAAAACCAGGCCATGTTATGCTCGGCAAAGTAAAGTATAGCAAGACTAGGCTCAATTAGGTTGGTTTTAACTAAAGTGACCTGGACTAGGTAAGTCTTAGATTAATCCCATACATCGGGGATGGCAAGTATGTACATGCCATGTCCACTGTGTGTTTGATTTAGTAATTGTTTTTACACATAGATGGCTCTACAAGTATTAAGTCACAAATTACGAGAACTACCTGTCTCACTTTTTACCATTTTCTTTATCTTTGAAACTATTTTCTGGTATCTCATGTTGCTGTTTGTAATGTCAATAACACTATAGTAATTGCAAACTCAAGGAAAGATGAAATCAGGTGAAGCTACAAAGTCTGCTAATAGACTCCTTTGTAGCTAAGCACTGGCAGAGCCAACGATGTGCAGAGACATTTCACAAAAAAATACTACAGTGAACACATTTTTTCTTGGGGGCATTGGGTCAAGTTTATAACTTCTCAATGAAACTTTACTAAGGTTATAATGCTTCTGATTAGTCTTAGCATATAGAAGTACAAATATATAGAAATGTCAATTTATCATGAAGGATATCTGGATACAATACTAGTGAAGAAATCCATGGAAAAAAATATTTCATCAAAGAGTTTAAAAGCACATGATCATTTTGACTTGCAATTTATAGCTCAGATTTTCTCCTTTTTTCATGCATTAAATTATTTCACTTTAGCACTGATAGTCTGCAATCAGCTCCAACAATCATCAACAAAAAATTCCTTCTTGAGACTATACGACTTGACTTACGTGGTCTGCTGGTGCGCATCATCAATGTGGTGTCCTGATGCAGTGAGACCTGACTCGTCGTGTTCGTCCTCCTCCCCTTCAGACACTGGCTCTTCCCTATCTCGAGACATCTGTGATCGTGCGAGCTCTGGATCTGGCTCTGTTAAAAGTGGTTGGTGTTCCGTTGTTCCCCTCGGCATGACACAGCCTGTCGATCGATGAGTATTAATGAGATGTTGCTGATCACTTAGAGAAAAGTTCCTATATTATATCTTATTTTCAATTTGGATGTTATACTGTAGTCATATCTGATAAATAGGAAAAACATATCAACATCAATATCTACTCTTTGCAAAGTAAATGATTGAGCTTGGTTTGGGAAAACATAATAAGAATGAAACAAGCAATATCCTCACACAGTTTAAGATATTTAAAATCAGTTCCTAAGCTGTGGTCAATGCAATACATATTATAAAAAACAATACTTCAAATCAGAAATATTTTTTCAAGAGCACTCTGCATCATTGCCAAATTTCAAACTTTACTTACTCTTTTCTTCTTCACGGAAATGCAAAGAAGCAAAAACTAAAAAGAAGCATGTGCCAACAAAGCAAAATCTATATAAAAATAAAAATGGTGAAGATAATATCATAAATATTTTCAAAGACAGCTTTAAGATAGAAAATGAAAACAAACACAAACAAGCATCAGATAGTAAAAGTAAATAAAAAAGTAAATTAATAATAACAGCAGTAGAATAACAAAAGTAATAACAATAACAATAATAAAAACCCTAATAATATATAAATAACGATGATGATAGACAACAGATGACTGATGATAAATGATAAATGATAGGTGATTGGTGGTGGTAAAAAATAATAATAATAATGACAATGATGACAATGATAATAATGATGATGATGATGATGATGATGATGATGATGATGATGATGATGATGATGATGATGATGATGATGATGATGATGATGATGATGATGATGATGATGATGATAACAACAAAAATCAATACAATAATAATAAAAACAATAATAATGATAATAGCAATAATAACAATGATAAAAGTAGCAACAATATTTATAATATCAATAATAACAATAGACTAATAATATTAATAACAATTTTAATAATAATAATAATATATTAATAATGATAACAACAACAACAACAACAACAACAACAACAATAATAATAATAATAATAATAATAATAATAATAATAATAATAATAATAATAATAACAAAAATAATAATAATAACAATAGCAATAATAAAATAACAAAAATAATATAAAAATAACAATAAAACAATAACAATAATTACAACAATAATAAATATAACAAAAATAATAGTAACAATAACAATAATAATAACAATATTACAGAAATAGCACAAACAAAACCAAAAAAAGGCAAAACTCACAATGTGTGCTTACCTTCAACTGATTCCATAATCTGTACTCGAAATCAAAGAATCACTAAATCAAAAATTTCTCAAATAATTTGAAGCAAGTGGCCAAACAAACAAACAAACAAAATGTGAAATATTGATGATAAGGGGATTGTTAAAAAAAACTTTCCAACTTCAAAAAAGAAATTTCAATAAAGCTCAAAACCTTTCATGAACATCACTCTTCTGCGTTTAACAATTCATATAGTATCCATGATTGGCTGACTGCTGTTCCATAAAGCTGTCTGTTTCCAATGAAAGTGAGGTTATTCTTTTTAGGCAATGCAAGCAACTTTCTTCATCATTCTGAGACTTTCGTCCCTATCAATACTGCTGCAATACCATCACATATATACAAGTAATTTGTATTTGTTTTCTCTGCTAATAGAAAATGTCTAAGTATCGGGTTAAGCATAAAGAAATATAATACTTTGTCTGAATTTGGCATCACTTATTGTATTTCTAATCATCTTTAAACTTAGCAACTTTCTAATATTCTATTATTTGCTTAAATAAATTTAATCAATCAGATAGCTCATCCGGCTTATGGATATATTTTTTTTCCCACGTATACAGAGCTCTGTCAAAAAATAATTGAAACTGACTTTTCTTTGTTTTTTAATTTTGCTAATATTTCCAATATCTTGTTACCATTGTGTGATCATAACAGAAGTTATACTTATGATTCCAGGAAATAAATGGGTTTCAATTATAATGTAAATAGTTTATTGTTTCTTTACATGCATTTCTCAAGCAAAATTCAGTTAGTTACAACTATCATGTATGCAATAATCACAGGATAAAATCAATAATATAACTATAATTAACTAATGCATAGGATCTAAACTAGTGAGCAAGTTAATCCACAAGTGTTGGTATTAGATTGAGCCACCTGCCAATCTGCTGGAGAATTTTGGCTTTAATTCAAGAGTTTTGAATGCAAGAAAGATATGAGGAAATTTCTAGTTAGCTACCTATGTAACTAAACATTTTGAAGTAATAAAAAAAGTTGCTTTGAAAATGGAATAAGTTTAAACAAACAAGCAAATGCCAACATTGTTTAAATCTTAATACTTACCAACATAAATGTAGATTTCTATACATTTTTTGTCATTTAATTTCTAAATTCAGTTTCTAGAGCCAGTTAGTTATTTATGCATGGCAAGAGCTACTATTTTAGTTGTAGATGTATTTAGCTAAAGCAGTAAAACACACTATATAAACTTTAAATAGTGCTTCTTTAAGATTAGATTGGAACAAGTCTGTAAACAATAATTCTAACATATACCATCCCAATT